TCACCAGCTGAGATGGCTTTCGGTAAACCACCAGATGCACTGGGGGCCCCACCCGGTCCGGAATATGCCAGGAGGCTTCAGGACCGGATGGAGTCAGCTCATGCTTTTGCCTGTGACCATCTGCAGAAAGCAGGTATAAGACAAAAAAGGAACTATGACATGAGAGCCAGAAGGAAGGACTTTACGGTTGGGGACTTGGTGTGGGTTATAACCCGAAGAGGAAGAAGGGCCGGTACCCTAAGTTGGACTGTCACTGGGTGGGACCTTGTGAAGTATTGGAGAAACTGGGGGAAGGTGGTGTACAGGGTCCAGCTGCCGCCTAGGGGGCGGCGAGTGGCTCTCCACAGGGACAGGTTGCCCCCATATTGAGGCAATGCCTGGCCACACCAGTGCTCTGGAGCCTCCCGGAGAAATGTGTCGACCACACACCCAGGTGCACGAACTGTTCATCCTGGAGAGAGGGAAGTCTGGGCATCTTTGCTTAGACTGCTGCCCCCGCGACCCGGTTCCGGATAAGCGGAAGAAAATGGATGGATGGATATATATATATATCGTAGCGTATATACACACCTGACAGGACCAGGAGACAATGAGCAGCAGGTGGGAGGAATGATCGTAGAATGCAGAGAGAAACCGCAGAGGACAGGACCGGGAGATAACAAGCAATAGGTGACTGACATGGCGACTAATTGCGGCGACAGAGTAGTGGGGGAAAACAGGTAAACAAACAGAAATCCAGGAAGTAGACCGACGTGAAACCGTAACAAGAAGAGACTGTTAGTTTTGCAAAGGCAGTCTCCCAGGCTCTGCAGGGACAGTGGATGAGATGGGAAGATGTAGAAAGGGAGAAAACGTGGGAAAAATGTGGGATAGGGAGGCAGGAAGGATTAGATTCATTCTAGGTGCAAAATATGATATGCTTCCTTCTCCTCAAAATCTAAACCTATGGATAGGTGAGGAACTGACATGTCCTCTGTGTTCAGGTGTAGTTTCAGTTCATCACATCCTCTCAGGTTGTAAAACAAGCCTGGCCTAAAGGTGATACATTTGGAGACATAATCAAGTGCTGAAGTGTCTAGGAGCAGCTATTGAAAGTTGGTGCTTAGAGGTAAACACAGTGGAGGAGAAGCAGAAACATGAGGGGATTTAATTTTTTTGTGAGTTTGAGAAGGGCAGGAAGCAAGTCTTTCATGATTCTGCCCCACTGCTTCCGGTCTCATGCTTTTATTTTGACACTACTTCCTGTTACAGTCTCATCTCAGCTACAGACTCTTTACCCTATTTAGTAGTTATTGTTTGCAACTGTTTCTACCCCTTTATAGGTAGCTTCCCCACACCAGGAAGCTGTCAGATTGTTCTAGACTCCCGTTCAGACTTTCCAACGTTAATTCTTGTTACCTTTTACTCCTTTTCTGACCCCGGATTGCCTTTTGACCACCGAGTACAGCCTTACCCTCGGGGTTCTGATTGTCTTCTGTGTATTGATTATCGAACTTCCCTCTCTGACATCTCAATTGTGGATCCCTTGGCTGTGTGTGTTTGCCGGCACTGACCTTAGACTGGTATTATTGACTTGATTGTGTTTCGGGACTTCTGCACTGTATCCTGTTAGTTGTGATCATTAAAAAGACAGTTATCTACTTTGTCTCGTCTGGTGTTGTAATTGAGTTCACCATAGACAATATTGGCAGCTTTACTTGCCAATCCTGACAAAGTCATTTTGACTGGGCAAAATGCAGAGCATCTAAAGGCTGGTACAGACTGACAGATGAAAGTAGACTTAGGAAATCAGCTCATAGTTCCTCAGGAAATAGTCAGCACTAATCTAAGACCAGATCTTGTTTTGTGGTCAGATACACAGTTGGCTGTGTATTTTGTGGAGCTTGCTTGCACATATTGAAAAATATCCTTTAATCTAAAGTCCCCAAACTGGTAATACTGACTTGAACTTTCAGAATCTAACACTTTTTTGTTTAATTTTACTTAGATGGGCAAGACACTGAACCCCTAAGTTGCCCCCGATGGTTAGAGCCATTGGTGTTGGCACTGCAGGTGGCTGCCTCAGTTCTACACCGGAAACAAATTCCAGGGGTGACTGTGGTTCAGTGGGTAGCGGTTGTCTCCCAGCCGGAGGGTTGGAGGTTTGAATCTTGGTGCCTGCAGTCCACATGTCGACGTGTCCTTGGGCAAGACACCAAACCCCCAAGCTGACCTTGATGGTTAGAGCCATCATTGTGAGTTGGCGCCGCAGATGGCTGCCATCGGTTCTGTACAGGAAACAAATTCCAAGTATGTGTAACATACTTGGCCAAATAAAGGTGATCATTATTATTATTATTATTATTAGATTAGATTTCGGCTGTGTGATTGCTTCCACCACTCTCTTTGTCCTGGTATAAGCCAGAGCTGAATTCATGTCTTGTCATTCATGTTTTTAAGCAAAAAGACCATTGTTCTCTGGTTCCATGGTCCAACCATAGGAAAATCACCTAATCATGAAAACAAAGTTGGATGTATGTATCATACATTAAACATTTTATTACATTTGAGTAAACACTTCATATGACAAATTATGTATTTTAAAAATATTATAATGTTTTTATTTGCCAAAATACAGGGCTAGTTTGGCCTGTTGGAGATGCACTGTTCCTGGTTCAGTGAGTCACATGAACAGTGTGTTAAGTGTAGACTCAACATTACCTACTGTATATTTTGTTGACTTTGTGTGCTTTTGCAAATGAATTGTCTTTTTGGCTCATTGTAAGAAAAACACAATGTAATGCACAGATTGAGATTATTTATGAATTGCACATGTAATCACTTTTGTATTGTGATTGTTGGCTGTGTTTTGTGTATTGTAGTTTACTATTGCTTATATTGATTTTTTTGCTTGTTTTTTAAAATGTGTATGAGCTGATCTGTATTTGCAGTGACTCAACCACGTTACAATGGTATTTAAAGAAAATGAGGAAGTGAAATTCTTTGTATTTTTACTGTTTTCATGTGTGCATGTCAGTGAAATCAGCTGCAGTGTTTGATTAAAATGAAAACCAGCATATATACGGCTGTGTAGCACTTTAAGTACTTGAACAGCGTGTTACTGGGTTACGTTTGTCATAATAACCAAATAGACCAAATATGAATATTTATCACCGTTAATACACAGATGTACGAGCTTCCAGCGGTTACTGAAGGCGACGTAGGTTCATCAAGAGGAATGTCAGCCTCGGGAAGTAAGCCAGCCTGTGATTGGCCACAGCGAGTCATGTGAACATTTCCCAAGTGGAGTTTCCACGACAGCTGGAAGCCGAGCGGAACAGGCACATCGTTTCTTTGCTGAAATTACTGGAAAATAACAATACTTCTGCTTGTCCTAACACCTCCACATAATCCTTGGTCTGGCATGGGCGACAAGAGGAGTCCCACAAGGTAACGACCGAGTTAGTGTGCCCTAAATATTCACTGTATAAGAGGGGAGCGGACATCGGCGAGCGCACAGAAAAAATAGGTTTTCTCCACGGTCTCTCTCCCCTCTCTCTCTCCCCCAGCATGTGTGTATGTGCGCGTGCTAGGAGTGCGCGCACGAGTGTTAAAACCTCATCGCCAATTACAGTATCGGATCACAGCGCGCTTGCAGATGATTTCCTAAATCTCATAGGCTTACCCAGATGTTTGCTATCGATAGCCTTCGTGAATGCGAGCCGAACTCACTCATCTTTTCCTTGCTTTTCTCTCCTCTCCTATCATCTTATTTTTAATGTTATATTTGTTTTTACATTTATTCTTTTAAAGGCCGAAGCGTCAACCGAAGCCCTCCTCCGACGAGGGGTTTTGGGACTGCAGCGTGTGCACGTACAAAAACACAGCAGAGGCTTTTAAGTGCATGATGTGTGATGTCAGGAAGGGGACATCAACCAGGTAAGGCGATGGATATACAGTACATTTGGTGTCCTTTGCGTTAGCGGGTTGTATGGATTCATGTTAATTTATAACTTATTCAGCAGATGCTGTTTTTAAGTCTTCCCACTTTTGTAGTTTTCTAAGGATAATTGCATTTATTCTTACTGAAAGTTTTGTTTTTCCCAACTCAACATGTTGAATTGTTAATTTTTCCTCTTTGCACTGCACTGGTCTCCTTATTCTTGCCAGGTGTTGACATTGAAGGAGAATCCCATATTCCCTTATTTTATTGTTCCTCAGTCTGCAATCCTGGCTCAACCTGGAAGTCGTTCTGGTCTGCCATGTTGAAAGACGTCCCAGTGCTCTTATTTCTGCTCTGAGGACCGAGGAGGCTGCCTGGAGGCGCTATAACCAAGGAAACACAAGTGTATCCTTTGCGGAAGTCTTACAGATTAGCAAACCTTCATCTGACACTTCCAATCACCAAATGATTTTCAGTAAAGGGTTGTGTCAGTCCATAAAAGACTTCCACAAAGGATGGTCTTGTGTAATCTCACTCATGTCTCCTCCAGGCAGCCTCTTTGCTCCTCAGAGCAAATTTAACTAACGAAGTGAGGAATGAGGAATGATCGTAGAAGAGACTTGAGATGCATCCACTGAGTGAAATGATAGAGAGGGATGGCTTGCCCACACATCCATTTTGTTGGCCTGGAGATACAGTATTTGTAACACATGGACATACAAATATACAGTGTGTAGATGAACACACATATATACACATTTGGTGCCCTCTGTGCCTGTGGGTGATATTCCAGCTGACATAAGTGATTTGGAGCAGGAAATTACTTAGGCTGGATTCACACAGACTTTTGCCCTGCATTAATAAAACAAGGCAAGGGGCTGCGTTGGTGGGGTTATGTTGTTTCCTGTTACAGTAAGACAATGAAATACACAAGTCCAGCTGGAGAAACACATTTAAGATTATTAGGCGGCACAATACAGTTGTTTGTAAGGCTGACAGACAGGATTGTACAAGTCTGGAAAGTTATGGTGGAAACTTTTATCTTTAGTTGTGACAATCTGAAAGTAAACAGCAGGATACAGTGTTCATGTTGCCAAGTAATACACCAGGAATGCACACTTGTATGTACGCGATTGGCTGATGCAGCACCTTGCTGGATGATATCACGTTGCATTGCAGAAAGAGCTGAACCAGATCCAACTTTTTTCTGCATATACACACTTCCCACATCCAAATGACTGAGAAACGATTGTGCAAATGTCTGTATGAATCTTGCCTTATTCCTGAGTGGTAGTCATTATCAGGATGAAAACACAACAAAGGGTGTAGGAGAGGAAGTGGAGCTGCTTGCTCTGGCTGTGATAAACAGTGTGTTGTTATATGCTCTCCTTCTTTAATGCATCCCTAATTACCCGCTTATGCATTAACACAACCTTCCCAGTGACTTAACTACAACAAAACCAACAAGACACCAGTGTAGTTGTCAGATTTGTTACCTTTCATAATTTTATATGACAGTTCATGCACTTTATATGCCTTTTTGTTTTTTTGTGTGGGAGGGCTAGTTGCAAAAAAAGATTGTTGGAGCAGCTGCCAGACAGACAGCCATAGCTCATTACTATGCAACAGCTTAATCAGCCTGCTGTCATCACACACACACACACACACACACACACACACACACACACAGATGCATTCAACATGCAGATTTTACACATGACTGCATACATATTCGTACACAAACACGTGCACACTTAATGCGCACACTTGTAAACACACACTCAAGTACACAGTTGCTGCTCACAAACAAAGAGGCTGAGCATCAGACGTGCTGTTGTCATAGGGTCCAGCTTATTTCAGTTGTGTGCTGATTGTTGAGAGGACACTTTTGTGACTCTGGGGTGCTTCTGTGAAAACAAGCGGCCTCCAGCTTTGCCAAGAAGCTGTCTGAATCTTCACCAAAACCTCTGACACCCTTTGTCTTCCTCATCTGGGCATTTTTTGTAGAAGATGGCAAGGACACAAGGACCCAGACCAAGAATTCTTTGCAACACCTCTGACGCTCAGCAATAAATATAGAAAACACTGGCACGGTCTTAGTTAATGTTAATAATCACCACCCTGTCTTCCCATTTGCAGTGCTGCAGAGATGTGGTAGTAGTGATGTTGCCATGCACTTGAAGAAGGCCACACACCAACTTATACATACACAGACTAATACAGGAACATGGCCACACAGGTGGTCACAGCTGTTAATGGCCGAACACAACAGACAAGTGGGTTTCTCAGCAAGCACGTTGAAGGTACTAAAAGGCAAGCGACAAGCAGAATATTAATGTAGGACACAGCAACGTCCCTCGCTAAATAAGCATGACTGAGCTATTACTGTGAATTAATGAATTAATGCTTGAAGTGGGCATGGGGTGTCCAGTGGTAAGAGGAAGTGTACCATAGTCTGAAGGTCATGGGCATGGAAAACCAGTGTGGGTTCGATGGAAGTGGCTTAATCTACTTATCACTAAAACATATAAAATGTCACTTTTCCTGACAAGATCTATATCTTTTCAGCAAGTGCTAGATGTAATGGATGCTATAAAATGAAACATTTTAGGATGAGATATAGAAATACTTTAGAAAGGAGAGAATTTGCATGTAGATAGTCTCCAGGAGATGAGAAAATCTTTGACAAAAGTGAGGTTTAGCAGATCTTGCTGGCTATATCCCTTTGATGTGGAGAGATGATCTATTGCAGAGGGCCCAAAGGCAGCGATCTGATTGAGAAGTTGTTGTTGAGGCTGGGACTTTGACTGAAGACAAGGATACATCAGCAGGACTGGACTTGCTTATCAGAGGAGTTGGAGTGAAATGGAAGAGAGACAGACAATCTGCCAGAGAGGGCCGATGTTCTGCTCATTCTGTCAAAGGCTCAAAAAATTGTGCACTGAGGAAGTCAGATTTGAAGACACACAGGTGAGACTACAGCAGAAATGAAAGTGTGTTTAAATAATTCTGTCTCTGCCTTGTGCAAGCCTGATGCAGGCTTGTGTGCAGATTAATTAAAGATGTCTTAGAAGACTTTGTAATATATCCTGCAGCCTTGTTACCTTAAGACTTTACTGAGGAACTCAGCAGTGTCTGCGACTCTTTAGGCCCAGTCCCATGCTTTGAAAACCAGCGTGATAGATGAAAGTCACAGTACAGTGGTGTGGTACTTAAGAGGCTGTTTGATAAGTGCAAGGTCACAGGTTTTCTTCCTGCATCAGCTGAAATACCCAGTCACAGCATCGTTGAGCAGGACACTTTAGGCCTCCCAGTGCAGTGATTTGTCCTGGATTACAGTGTCATCCTAATGTTTCAAATGTATGATGAAAGATGAGACATGTTTCAGAGCCAATCCTAAAGATGAAAATATCACGCAAAGTGGTGCTGACAGACAGCTGTTAAACCCAAACCTAAACATCGTCTTTAGCCAAATACTACTGGGTGTAATAGAGCAGGCTGTGTGTGACCCTCTCTGGTGTTTAGCCTCCACCGCCTGCATCTGTTCTCTGAGCTGAGCTCTGACAAGTCAGGCCCACCAGGGAAGCAGAATGCATGCTCTGTGTTCAGGAGCTTGTTTGCCAGCATTATATTTCTACAGGTCAGGACAGTGAGCTTGATCATGTTCCTGTTAGTTCTCTCTCTCTATCTTGTTTGCATTCGCCCTCTCCCTGTCTTTATCTCTTCTTTCTCTCAGTGATAGCGTTTGCTCTCTTTCTGTCTCCCTCTCTTTTGAACTTAACCCTTGGCATCTCTTTGTGACAGATTGATGTGCAGGTTTTGTCAGCTCCACAAGCACAAGCTTCTCTGGCTGGGCTGGGAACCTGTCAGCATTTGGCTGTGTAGATGTTGTTTGATCATCCGCCACATAAGATTGCCCTTACAGTTAATGTGCAGTGCACACCCTCAAAATTGTGCTGCTGGTTTAATTGAAGCTTTACCTACTGTAAGACGGCAAAGTAAGAATTTCATTGTACAGGGAAACACGTTTCCTAACTGTGCATATGACAAATAAACACTTTGACCTTTGACCTGTAAGAAAATGCAGCCTTCAATATGACACAGTCTCTAGTATCTGGTGCAGGAATCCAGCATTTTTATTGAGTTTGTGTAGATGCAAAAAAAAAAAAAGCTCAATACTGAGCAGGAGCACAAGCAAGGCAAATATGTATTAAGGCAATTAATAATTATTTTGAGTATCCCATGTTTATATTAACAGTTTGATCCATAAAAATGTCTGTACGTGTCTTGCAAAGTTCAAGGCGACACCTTCAAATGTCTTTTTTGTCCAAAAATGTTCAGTTATAGTGACACAAATTGAAAATATACTTCATTTTCTAGGGCTTGAACCAGCAAATGTGGCCATATTTGGTTCAGAAAAGATTATCTGATGATCTGCAAGTTAATCAATTTTAGACCAGCTAGTCATTTTACCTCTACTGCAAAACAGAAGGAGAAAATGACTAATCACATGTGAACAAGATAAGTGAAATAAGATGCTATCACAAATAAAGGAGTTCAATAAAGAAATAAAATTCTGATGTACATACTGATAATCAGATTGTTGCTATTTGTGGATGAACTTTATGAATCCAGTCATGCAGTGATTGGTTTTAGTAGCTATCTTTATAAATATGAGATAATGATCAGCCTGCTGGAGCTGTCTGATTATGTGAAAAGTAGATTGTGACGGGGAGCTGCACAGACAGTGTCTCTTCAGAAGGGACGCTGGATTCTAAAATTTGAGTTGAGAATAATTTGAAAATATTAATTAGCTCTCTTTTTTGCTATTCTTTGTAAAGCTGAATTGATAAAAACAAAGACTTACAAACAGCTTCATCCTCCAGGCTGTGAGGATGCTGAACGCTGTCCATTACCCCCCCCCCCCCACCCCCTGCCCCTGGACTGTGACCCACCACAGAACATAAAAAGACTATCTCCGCTGTTTTGCACAAAC